AAAAAAAAAAAAAACATTTGTGATTGTTATTTTCTTCTATTTTCTGGGTTTTGCCAATTTCATATTTTTTAAAATTAAGAAAGTCCATATCTTTCTTTCATTATTATTGCTAGTTTCACTATCATAAAGTTTATTACAAATCTCCTATAGAGCTGGCTGTATGTAAAGTGGGTTAGTTTATCCTGAACACATTGTATTTATCTTCTGGCCTCCCCACTCCATGGGCCCACTGCCAAGTGCAGTCTATTGGCGGCTGAGGCCCTCCATGTCAAGGTCCACCAAATCCTGCCTTCCTGACCCAAAGTCCAGTAGTCTGGAAAACTGCCTAACCTGCTGTCCTATAAACATACAAAAAATGTTCAACTCTACTCGTAATCAAATAAATCAAAATATCCATAGGATGGTAATGAACAGTGTTACTGAGAGTGCAAAGCAATGGACATTCATGTTTTCCCGGTAAGGATGTAAATAGGTATAGAATTTCTTCAAAAAAATTGAAAGATATATGTTTGTGTGTGTGTATATGTGTGTATCTATTTATAGACAGATAGATACACACATATATATGAAGAGCCTTTAACTTATTTCCTAACTCTTTGATTCAACAATGCCAATTCTAGGAATTTGTCTAAGGAGATCATCAGAGGTAAGAAAGGAATTGCTGTAAGAAGGTCCAAGAATAAAATATAAATTTTAAACAAAACCTATGATAGAGCAGGAGCAGTGTCATCTTGGACAAACACCGACACTTTAAATTCCAGCTCCCTGTCTAGCCTCATGCATTTCAAGGAAATCACTTCTCTTCTAACTACAAGCAGCCACAAAGAGCAGACAGTAAAACGGATAAGACAGCTCGGGCACAGAGGGAGGTTGCAGGGTGGGGGTAGGGGGAGTCTCTTTCGTAACTGCCAAGCTTCACCCTCATACAATGGGCCCTAGTAAAAGAGTGGACCTTAACAAGCACATTCCTTTCCCTTCAGGTGCACAAAGATAGGGAAGCTAAAAGTAGACTTGGGGTGGTGGGGAGCCTGCAGCTGCAGGAAGATGTATGGGAACAGATACACAACTCTCCCTCCCAGATACGCACAACAAAGAGACACAGAAGCAGTCCAAGCCTCTGATAAACTCTCCCACCCTGAATCCTTAAAAACGGTCAGTACGAGAGTGTGGCTCTGACCTAACTCGGCCAGCTGCCCCTCTCAGTTTATTCAAAATAAACCTGACCCTG